TGGGGAGAAACCGGTTTCATGTCCTGACACTTCCTCTTCTCCTCATCTCAGCTGTATAAGAATGTGCTACGATATTTTCCCCTTTCTTAATACACATACCGGACAAAAAATTAGTCACCCTTAGAGAAATCATGAAAAATATCATTTATAACGTGTATCATCACCTATGGAATTTATAACCATCTGGATTCAACTAGGAAGTGAGTTCACAAGGTTCTGCAGGTATGTCAAAACTAGTTAAGACCACTCTCTGAAGATTTGATCGCACAAATCCACCAAATTGCAAGGATGCTGATTTCGACGTCTTACCCGTTGTTCCAACATCTCCCACAAATTTGCAATTTGTTTCAAATCAGGTGATTATGTAGGCCAATTGAGATGTAAATGAGTGTTTGAGTGTTCACAAAACCAGTCACGTGTTCTTCCAGTCCGATGATATTTGCTATTGTCATCTTGAAAAATAGTGGTATCGTCAGCACACTCTTCATGAAGATGTTCACTGAAAGGCAACACCTGATCATTCAGAGTGTTTAAATAAACATGTTGGTTCATTTTAGTGACCACCTCAGTGAGGGGCTCAATCCATAATACGAAAAGCACCCCCAAAACATGACAGACCCACCTCCGTCCTGAACCTAACCTTGCACACAGTCAGGATGAAATGCTTCATCTGGTCTTCCGTGCACTCGACGACGTGCGTCATTTGAATAAAGGCAAAAACGTGATAAGCCAGACCTTATTACATTCCGCAAATCACCGGTCAGGTCGCCGAGTGGTTCACGCGCCTGACTGCGAAGCCAATGGCTGCGGGTTCGAATCCCGCTATGGGCTCTCACTTGTGTTGTCCTCTGTTGTGTGTGATGAGTGAATGTGGTCCACCATATGAAAGGGTTTGTGGCAGTGTGACGTGGGCAATGCTACTCGCCTACGTGACTTTGGTTCACAGGTGCCCACTGAGTAACGCGAAATGAGTAACAACTCTGGCATCTTCCAAGGCGAAACGAATAAAGTTCAGTGTCTACCATTCGAAAAAAAAACATTCAGCAGATCAGCAACTGTCCACTTTCGGTGACTTCTAGCCCACTGAAGTCGTGCTGCTTCATTCGATTGTGTGAGCAATGGCCTCTTACGAGGTGTTCGACTCCAAATGTTCCTTGCATGCAGCTCCCGTCTCATATTTTTTCCCTAACAGGTTGGGATGGGCCTTCATTCAGTAACTGAAGCAAATTATGTCGGGTTTGGAAGCGATTTTGATTGACAAGTCGTGAAACACGTCTTCGCTCCCTATCATGCAGGATCAATTCTGATGTCTTCTTTCGTGACAACGTTTATTACACCACTGTTTGCTGACTCGTTAAACAGTTTGTATCAAAACACCAACAAATCTAGCAACACACACAATTGACCCTTTTTGCCACTCTGTCACATCCTTACCCTTACCCATATTTACCCACAATTTCTGCTTAAAACAAAAACATCCCACTGATGGCTATTTGCCTTTGATCGCGTTGAGGCAGTGGGTGCGCAGTAGAGCACGTCATTTGACTACTGTGTCATCTAAGGAAGCCTAACGATTCATCGGTGATTGCACAATAGGGGGCCTAATTTTTTGTCCGGTAAGCTTATCTTTCGTATTTAACTGTCAAAAATATTTTTTTAAATTTACTTTCTTTTAGAACTATGTTCAATATAGTTTTCAGCTCCAAATAATTTCCCAGCTTGAAAATTTTCAATCTATTTAAAAATCAAGAAATAAATTAATGTACTTCCTTCTCCTATGACTCTCCACACGCTAATGGGGAAAGCATGTGAAGCGTTGCCATAGAAAGAGAGTTCTGCTCTACGCCACCTGTAGCCCATTTCGAACTCCAATAGTTTCAAGTTTCTAAGCTTAAATTCTTTTTAGAAAATAAGGTATTTCCTGAGAGCTATTCTCGATGGATGCGATTTTTCCCCCTAGAGAAAAAAGTCGATCCATTCGAAAAAAAAAAAAAAAAAAAAAAAAGGGGGGGNACCATTTAAAAAAAAAAAAAAAAAAAAAAAATGGCGAGTTTTTCTTCCTTATGTGTCTGTGAAAAAATAGCACCGAGTGTGAATTGTCCTATACTCTTAGGTAGGCCACACGCCGAAGCGACATACGGTTACGATTTCATCCCGAAATCACGTGGTTTTGCCGATTATTTTTCCAGTAATCATTACATATTACCTTATTGCTTTCAAAATCCAATTTTTTTAAGACAGTATTATTACGACACGTGAATTTTAATACTCTTGCGATCGTTCTTTCGACAATTATTCCTGTGGATTTTGTGATAGTTTTTAAACTCTCAATGTTTGTAATATAAAAGTATTACAACACTCGCGAGTTGGGAACTTCAGTAAACACTTTTTACCACTTGTTAAGGACAATTCCGTCGTATTTAATTTGCTTAACATAATTATAATAAAGAGTTGGTTGCTTTTTATTACTATTTAAGATGAGAAGTTAATGGCTTTAAATGAGAGGAAATTATTTACTGAAATTTCGTTTAAGTAATCGCCAAAAATCTTCTGTATATTAATTTGTAAAATTTTCTACACTGATTGAAACAATTGAAGACACAAATGTTTTTTTTTACAATAAAAAAATATTTAACAAGGCAAATTGAACCACACCTGGCCATAAAATATCCGATATAAGGCCAAATGTGGAAAAACAAAAATGAGCACAACCTATATCCTAATGAAGAGCTAAGTGGTTAAGAAGTGGAAAATAAAAAAGCTGCATATTCGCTGAGTGGATTGGTCTTCAATGGCGGAAATTCGTGACAATCACACGAATAAAAAAATATTGAACAGAAAAACAAAAAGGTAGAGCGTCTTAACTTTAGCTCTCATTTACTCAAATTCACTAAAGTGTCACTTCGCCAGTTCTTCCATTAAGCTCTTCAAAAGTTTTACACTTTGTATTTGAGTTGTAACTTGAACTGAAAATGGTAGATTTTTTTTAGAAATGTGATTTTATTAATTGGAATTTAAAAATTTTCCTTCAGAAATTTAAGTTTAAACTTAAACTCCCATAAGAAAATTTAGGGTCAGATTATAGCTAGACTCGAATTAACACATTAAATATACTATTTTGTAGAAAAGGGCGTTTAACTTTAAATTTAATTTAGCTGCGCAAAAACTATTAGATTAAGAAATTTAAAACTACGTCGGTGTGTAGAAAAATGTACTAAAAGTACCATGAAATAAATAAAAATAAACGATCGATAATTTAGCTAAAAAATTGTTAACTGAATTTGCCGTAAGAAGTACAATGCGGGCTGCTCTGCATGCAGCAGGAATACTACTACAAAGTTGAAAGAGCCTCTAGTTATTTCTTATGGAGTAGCACACTTTGTATTCCTTAGGTTAAACGATTTGCTACCTAAGATTATTTTTCATATCCAGTTAATCGTTCGTTCCGGTATGATTTACATAAAGACAAAGTGTTCTTTCATAAAACCGCAATAATTGTAGATTTCGTTTACAAAATATGCCTTGTTTTTGTATAAAATATGGTGCTTCATAGGGGAAAAACTATTTATAAAGAGCAATTACGAGGGTTGGTCAGTGGTGCAAGCAGTTTGCGGAACCTTTCAGCATTTAAAAAATTTTCTCCCTAGAAAATTATTACTTTTAATGCATATTCCAATTTGTATACTTTTAAGTAGCTAAACAATTCTTATGCACTAACTCTAGAAATGCAGGCTTATCTTAAATGAATATGTATTTTTTCTCTCCATAAAATTATTCATTCATTAGAAAATTCTTTTGAATGTATTAGGAAATGCAGATTATTCCTTGTTTAAATCTTTAATTTATTTCAAGTTTTCAAGGAAATCTACTGTCCCCTTATTCCACTATCATTTAGACTGTTCATGTTTCATCGTTTGCATTCCTTGGGTGTAAATATACCGCAAGAGGAGAGGTTTTTAAGGTTGTTATCATAGACAAATACTGTCCCAGTCATATACCTTCCATACACTTCGAAAACATTCAAAGAGGCTTATTACCATCACTCACTCAGATTTACGAATTTTTAAAGACCTACCAACTCAAATAAAATATATAAATAGAGCTAAATTTATTTCATGATCCGAGAAATCAAATTTTTTCCCGAAATGCTATTTCGAATATTCTTTCACAGTTTTGACTATCTCGTTGCGGATCCCACGATTTCTACTTGCAACGTAAAAGTTGCAACCCGCGATTCCATCTGGGATTTCAATCTATTTAACTGTGCAATCCGTTCTTTTCCTATTCATGCTTTCAGTTTTTTTTTTTTTTTTTTTTTTTTTTTTTTTTTTTTTTTTTTTTTTGCGATGTTTGTCTATTCAGATTTAAGTTAACAGATTGCGTTATTGTTCATATTTCTAGGAAATAGATAACAGTATTTTGCCGTTCTTTTTAAAGTGTGTTGTTTTGTAGCTTTAAAATTTTTTTTGCAGAGAAATTAATTTGGTGCAAGAATTGTGAGGTAGGACTTCGCCTCAAGCCATGTTTTGAAGTTTATCATACTAAACTTCATTTCTAATGAATGCTTTGCAAAATATTTTGCATATTTTCATTAGAAAAATTATGTTATCTTTGTATTTCATAAAATAAATCATAATTTGAATAAGATTAACAAAATTTTGCTTTTATATAATTATTCTACAATTTCAATTTAGTGACTACTTTTTTTATGATCTAATTCCATATTGAAATAAAAAACTTTACTTTAAATTTTTGTATATTTTAACTTTAAATGTATAGATTTAAAGTTTTTAATAAAGAATACGCAATTTAAGAATCTAATTTGATAAAAATAACTAAGCAACGAGAGGGGTTAATAGCTGTTTTGAACCATCGAAATAATAAAAAAAATAACTTTTCATTCTCTAAAAATAGTTTAAGTGAAATGGGTATAGAACTTTCAATTAAAATCCTAAATCGTTTTAGGTTCTAAAAAGAGAAAAAAGAAAAGAAAACACACATAAGAGTGCAAGTATTTATTAAAAATGGAACACTAAATCTGCCCAGCAGTTTTGTGTTTTGACATGAATTTAATGAAATACATTCACGCAATACAAATAGTAATATCAAACAGTTTTTATATACAAACACTTTCACACTTTTATAAAAAAGTTAAAGTAGCAAAAAAATGCAATAATGCTTTTTTACAAATATTAAAAGTAACATTTTAAAAAGATAAATTTTTTTTTCTTAGCACACATAGTTTCATGAAATAAAAACTGCACTCATAACATATAAAATTATTTAGCTTCTCAATAAAATGATTCGCCCTTTTTCTCCAAAGGGAAATCGCTGTGATAACCAAACATACATAAATAATAAAAACATAGTATTCGAAACAATTGAAATTTTTGAGTATTATTATTTTAAACCCACTTCAGACTTCTTATTTCTACTGATAATTCTACATAATTTAGTTTCAGAAATAGTTGTAAAGATTGTTTTTAAAATTCTAAGAAGCAAGTCTAAAGGATGTAGTTTTTACCGACGTATATTTAAAAATGCTTTTAAATGATGAAAGAGTAAAATAATAACTAAAATGCATGCAAAAATAACTAAATCAATGAAATGAAATTTCTAAGTGGAAAATTTAAACAAAGCTTCTCATGTCTTTGTTTAAATAATTTGCATCGTTTTAGAAATAATATACACATATTTAGTCAAATCAGAAGATCAGCATATCAATTTTAAATTACTTAAATAATTCAATGTATCCGTGATTAAACACATATTTAGAAAGGCTTACTTGAAAATTACTGAGTACATTTCTAAACTTTAGTTTGAAACTAAGTAAATTATATTTTCATTTTTAAAGTGCGATTTGTAGTTTATTCTTATATAAATTCTATTGAAAATGAATATTGATAGATGATGCAAAAATAGCAATTACACATTTTATTAAAAAATAACAAAATTATATATTTTTTAGAGCTGCAAAACTTTTTCATAGTTTTTAAGATCTACTTAAAAAATTATGATTCCAATATATGTATATATATACATATATTTTGGAAATTTACTTCGAGTTGGAAAACGTTTTGTATTCTACTTGAAATATATAACTTTTGTTCTGGGTAAAAGGGGTTTTTAAGCTAAATCGGAATTTTTTATAACTAAATTCAACTGCAGAAAAACAATTAAAACATTAAAAGAATACAATTGCACTATAAAAATTTAACAATTTACTCCTTATTAATCTGAAATACTGTTTTAAGAGAAATCGTGTAAAATCTACAGAATAAGCAATAGAAGAAAGTTAGACAAAGAACCATGCATGAAATGTGAACATTAGATAGACTCTGGCCTTAAAACGCATAAAGTCATTTAAATAAGATCAAATTCATAAAGGAAATGTAAAATTCTAAATTTAAATAATACTGAAAAACCTTTGTTTCCTGTCCAATGAAAATTTAAATAACCCATCTAAAATTGCCTCGAAATCTTCAGTACACTTTATTTTACTTGAGCGATTCGCTGCCTTTTGCTCAAAATAGCGCCAATAATTTTAACTTGTAGAACAACTTCTGCCAGAAGTCGGATCGAATCTGTAAGATTATAAAGCCCACATTCTGATTGGGCGAAATCAACAGTTCTATCATCCAACAAAGGATTCGCTGACAACTGTATAAGATCTAGAAGTACCGTACGTTGACCAACAATCGGAACCATGTGACATCGTCATTTCGTTGCAGCTAAGTTCAGATTTAATAATTCTTTTCTGCACAGAGAATTTCGTTTGAATTTCTTCTAATCTGCGTTCTACATCTCCCGGTAGAGGACGCTTTGCAGGATCTCCATGCCAACAATCGCTCATTAACTCCCAACAGTCTTCATCGAAGTAGGGTAATCTTTCTGGTCTCATACCTACGTGAGAAATTGAAATTCAGTAAAATATTTATACAAAACCATAATTCTGAAAAAAGAAATAAGTCTTGCAAAATAGTCTAAATAGATCAAGTATAGATTCGATTCACTGTTAAATCAAAATGTATAAGATGTACAGTTTCATATTCAATTTTCAAATAATTTTAGTATTTAAATCGTAATTAAATTAGGTACTAAATCTAAATGCAGATATAAAGACACATTAAGTGAAAGTGTAAAGATAGAGTAATAACTTTAATTTAAATTTGCAAAGAATATTTTTTCAAAAAGTTTAAAAAAATTTACAAAAATATAAATGTAATGTTTTGTAGGGATAAATAAATAAAAAAAAAAATTAACAGTTTAGCTTTTCAGAACATTTACCTCTATATTTAAATTGATTTTCTATTATTTATTTTAGCACTTTTTTTCGTCAAATGAAAATGCAGGATTGCAACAATTCTAGATAACTGTTACTGAGACACTTATCAGCTTCTTAAGGATAAAAAGTAAGGTTTCCAGTCGCTGTCTTTAGAACTGATGCTGCTATTTTTATGGGCTAAGAAAGCAATGCTCATTGACATAAAGCAGTCAAACATAATTGCTGATATGGAAGTGTAACTATAATCATTTATCACAACTGACAGTGAACATAAATAGTTGCAAAAATATAGTGCGGCTTTCAGGAGAACTCCCCCAGACATCAGTCTCGCGTCGTGGCGGATACCACGGTTTCGAGAAAAAATCACTTCGAAAAGGAGTGGGGTGGTGAAAAGTTTTATCTTGATCTTTGCATAGGTTAGAGAGAGTAAACCAATCAACACCTTCATTCCAGCCCCATTAGAAATGTGCTCTTGCTTGTAACCATAGCAGCAAACAGCCCCAGACATTTAGTCTGGAGGAGCTCTCCTCAAAGTTGCACTGTACTCAGCTGGGGAATACTAAATAGTTAATACCGTGGGGGTTTGATCTGGGAAATTTTTAACACAAACTGGAAACTGAACCTTATAAATATAATCACTAGTAATACTGTTTATATAAGACATCGACAACGCCAAATGCCGAAAGTTTTCTTTCCATCCGTACTATGTAAAACCAGTACAATGTTTCCTCCAAGCTTCATTCAAATAGAGAACATTTTTACAATTATATTTGCTTTATATAGTTAATATTTCCTAGCAATTTTGTATAATTTAATCTGGATTCTACGTAATGCAACTTGCTTTCCAAAAAAAAAAAAAAAAAAAAAAAAAAAAAAAAAAAAAANAAAAAAAAAAAAAAAAAAAAACAGGGATTGGTACTTATGTGGTACTAAAACAAACTTTCTTTTTCATAAAAGCACTTACCTCGCTTTATTAGAGAAAAAAGATCTTCCTTGTGCGAGCACTGCTCATAAACGTATGGTAGTCGAGGTTGACCAGAGCACAGATACCAAAAGAGTACTCCAAAAGCATAGATGTCGACGCTGTTGTCATAATGGCCGGTCAAAAGTTCTGGAGCCATGTGAATGGGTGTACCAACAACACTGCCGGACATCATTACTTCCACCTTACAAAATCCCAAGTCTGATAGTTTCGCTCTATTGTCCTTGTCAAGCTGTAATAGAAACGAGGAAAAAAATTAAAAACCTAGTTAATTTATGGTAAGATTGCGCAACACTACAAAAATCATAAATGAAAACATACTACTTACCAGAACGTTATGCAATTTTATATCACGATGCACCAAGCCTTGACTGTGTAGGTAACGTATGCCTTGTATTACATCAATTGCAACCTAAAATACAAATTATAATTTAAAAAAATCATTGATTAAAGACTAATAGGAATACTCACAGTTGATGAATGCAAACGCTAAAATAAACTAGATTTTTAATGTCTAAGAATTCCAGTCAACTGAACAAATTTAACCGTCACAGAACAAATGAATCCCGTAAAGGTACTGTGCATCACGTGACCATTTTTTTTTGGAAGTTTTTAATCATTTGATTTAGCTGACTAAATTCTAGTAATCTGTTTGTTTTTTCATAGCACACTTTCTAGTTCGTTTCACCAACAATAAAACTATAGTTTGCTGTTGCATATTTAAAAAATATTTTTAAATAAATAAAGTTATCATACAATTCACGTTGTAGCATAAAATAAAGTCCCAGTATTTAATAATATTAGAATGGGATAGAAAGTCACATTTATTCTTATGGTGTTAGCGTCAGCCACGATAAGAAAGATGGCCTGTGTAAGTCCCTTTGTCTCTAAATTTGAAACTTAAAAATACTTTTGCAGAAACATTTTTACTTTTGTACTAAGTTTGTCATTTCAATACACAGAAATATTTGAAGTTTTAAAATATGTAGCTTCAATGTCAATTCTCAAATTGTCAACAAATATGCATTCCCAATTTGAGAGAACGAAAATAAAATTTTTCATAAAATGTATTATAAACTTAAATAAGATTACACACTTTTCACAATTACGATTACAGTGACAAAATTTCTAAACTTTCAGTTGACAATCTCTAGTTTTTCTCCTCAAAGTGTGACGACTGTAATAAGAAACTTCAAATAGAGTTGGAACGATATTTCGAGCACGAATAGTTGCGACGCTAGTCAGAGTTGAAGATAGCAAGATGCGCTACGCAAATAACTGAGCTTTGTCTCCCTAATTCAATTCAACAATTCTAAACTGTATAGCTCAACTGCTGCTACGCTTAACATTTATAAAATATTTTTTTCTTCTCTGATTAAAACCACTGTTTATAAAGCGAAAAAAAGTTGTACTTATCTTTTTTTAAGTTTCTTCTGTAAGGAATACGTTTCGAGGGAAAATGTAAGTGTTGCTTTGAAAGTTTAGAATTTTTGTCACTATAATCCTGAAAGCTAGATAACAGCTTATAATGCTTTTTATAGAAACTTTTATTCCGTTCTCTTGAAAGTCTTGCTACTTCGGATCTTTTGCACAGGTAAAGTAATTTTATAACTACCCAGTATATAATTTCAAATGATAGACCCATCTTTCGTATAAAGCATGATTAATTTACCTGCAATCGCTGGAGCCATGGAATGCCATTCCAAAGAGCTGAATACAAATCTCTGCTTAATCGTTCCATAATCAATAGAACAGTCGGACGACGATCGTGCTTGTAATCTATCACAGTTCCACACAATCGCACAATCCTAGGATGTTCTGGAGTATTTCTAAAATAAAATAAAATATCCCATTTAGAATCCTATTAGGATAAATACAGTGTCCCAAAGTCGATCACTGATGAGGTAGATGAGGTACTTTTTACCAGTATGTTGGTGTTTCATAATACCTCATAAATATTTAGCTTAGGGACACTAATAGCGAAATGATTTACTCACGTATTTCTTACTATTGGGTTGGAAAAGCAGCTCTTCCCCGGATTTCAGTGAAGACTTTTGAGACACCCTATAGTCAAAAAAACAAGCTTTAGTCTCCAAACAGTGTGGAGAGTCTAATAGCTTACCTGTTTTATTCCATGCAATATGAGTTACAGAATGAATGGAATACAATGGAATACGGAACAAACACTAGTAGAATGTCATCAAACATTTAGAATATTATTTACAATTTTAGCATTATGCCGCATCTAAATTTTTGAGAAGTTGAAATGAATTTATGTAGTCATTTTATTCAATTCATGCAATTATTTTATGGAATTCATTATGTATAAATTTATACAGCATTTGTCAGTCAAGTAACTAAAGCGATGAATAATTATTTTATTTAAAGAGCTTGAAATGAATTTTATTTTCTGACTTGATATAAAGTAGCATGCTTTAAGGAACTTGAACAAAAACTATACTTCTTGTTGTTTGTAATTCCTTGGAAATCACAATGGAACACAATTAAAAACCTAATATTCGAACATGTTCTATTTTCGTTATATTTATGAATGAAATAAGGCTCATTTTATCATTTATGATAATAAGGCTGAGTGCCTGACATAAGCGAAAATTGATGCAGTTTTCCACTCGGAGAGCTTTTATTCTTTCGTTTAATTACTTCAGAAATAATTGCGTGCACAGAGGAGATCAATCGAAGCAAAAGCTTGAAAAAGAGCAAAATCGTTATATTGTCTAAAAATTCATATGAACGTTCAACAAATTTCGAACTTAACAGGGTCTAACAGCTCACCACGATTGGGATAGCGCTTCATTAAAATCTGTTTGATCCAATTTTAAAATTAAATTATTCTTTACGCATACTAACGATTTTATTGATAAGAAATCAGAAAATAATTTTTTCTAAAGGAAGACTTAAATATGTTTTTAAATAAGATAATTTTTTTTTTGCAAAAATCTGGTTTAAATTTAATTACATTCATTTCGTGTGCATTTAAGTTGCAAAATCGGGCACAAGTTTACTTTCTTGGAATAAACTTTCGATAGAATGGAAAAAAGTTTGACAGTAAGATGGAATAGACATGTAACAACTAATCGATAATTTGGTCTCGATAGTTTAGATAAGAGTTATTAAAAGTGAGTATATCAAGGTTAATTTTTATAGTAAACGATTCTCATTCTCTATCTGAAATTGCTGAATAGCCGATGCAGACTCCAATGCCAAAAAACTAAATGGATGACTTAAAAGATTTGTTTTGCCCACATTTATAAATTTCTTTAATATTACGAATTATGAAAATACAAAAAATTTTAGTGATAAGTGGAAGTACGTAATTTTAAATACCAATATCCACTATTCGAACAAAATCGTTAAAATAGTTGAGAAAAAAAAAAAGAAAGTAATTAAAAATTTTCTGACTGTACATTAGTTGTATTTTACAATTTAAAAAATAAAAAACATTATAATTAAATGATAAATCTTGAATAATCGTGAAAAATATATTCATTTTTAAACTAAATTTTAAGACTATTAAAAAGTTAAAACAATATGATACAGGATTGCCACTTTTCAAATAAAGTTAAAAACTGGCCAAAAAGATAGAGGAAACAAAATATTTAACAAATTACTATCGACCGAAAACATTCGTAAATTAAAATAATTGCATTACATCTGAATTACTAAAATTGACAAGAAATTAAAACCTATAAAATTTACGATAACCTCATAAAACAGTTATCCCCACCTTTTAAATTTTGTCAAGCTTTTGTCACCCTGATATAACTAAACAAAAATAACGTGATGAAATGTATAATTTGGAAAAATATTGACTTACAGATATACAATTATTTAACCCTATACTTCCGACCTTATTATTGTAATAAGTTGTCTACAAATTTTACTGAAATTAAATGAACAGCTGAATGCATATCTGTTTATTATTTTAATAACCGATTCAAATATAATTAAAAATTTTGCGTTTAGTTTAAAAGTTATTTTATATGTTAAAATAAAAAAGCAAAACATATGAACGCTGGATCATTTTTAAGTGTATGTCTTTCTCAAAAAACCATTTGAGCATTATCAATCACTCACACAAAAAATAATTAAACTTAAAAAATGTTCGAACAGTTCTTCCTATTGTATAGAAATTTATCATTCAAATCAAAAGTACGAAAATTCTCTCTTTTTTTAAAAAAAAATATAGCTAATAATCATTAATCTTTAGTTAATTCTTTTAAAATTCAGTTTTCATAAGAGCTTGAATTTCAAATGAATCAATAAATACATAAAGTAATCAAGTAATATAAAATCAAATAAATTAAAAAACTATCAACTAAATTATCCTTTAAAAGATGGAATGGAATTATATTTTGATTTTTTTTCTTCCCATAGCTGAAAACATCCGTTTAAAAAAATGAACATGACTATGTCTATTTTTTAAACCCGCATTTCTATTAATGTTTTTTTTTCAAACACGTATTTTCAGATTTACGTATGAAACCCAATTTTTTGTTCAAATGATGCTCTGCCCATTTTCTTTAGCGCATTATTGAAGCTATGTAAAAAAAGTTTTCCGCCAAACTGACATTTAGCCTAGAAATCTACAAAATTTTTGTACATAAATGCATCGACATTTTTAAAAGTTAAGAACCATGAAGTTATTAAATATCTCTCCTAAAAAGAAACATGTAATTATGAGATAGAATCTTCAATTGTATTTTTAAAGAAAGATAACGTTTTCATTTCTATGTAACTTAAACTTACTTTTAATTAGCACAATCGTACAAACACAAAATAGTCTAGAATAAATATATCACACTTAGCAAATCAATATAAGAAAACAGACGTAAATTAATTTGCAAAACAAGAAACTTCATCATTTTCTTTTTTAATAGTACTTATTTCACAAAGAAATTAAGCAAATCATTTTAGATATCTAACATCATAATTCTACACATATGTAACATAAATGAGATAGCATCAACTTACTTGTGATAAAAGAATTCCATGGCTAAGCTGTACCAGTGTTTCTCAGTTGGTAAAGCTACACTTTTTACAGCTAAACCGCTTTGGCCAGCCCAAGACTTGCAGGAATAAACTATTCCAAAATGACCTCTTCCCAACTCTTGCCCCAAAGGAGGCATACCTGGAAAACATTTAAACTAATAAATATCTATATTCAATAAAAATTTAAATTACATCAATTTGTCTATGTAATCAAAAAATTTTAATTTAAGCAGCAGAAATCTGTACATATTTCATTATATTACCGTCGTTGAACAGCAGATCTCCGCAGATCTAATGCTCATCTCCGTAGCCTTGTCTTTTGATCCACCCGATCCAGAAGACAAGGGAACTCCTGGATCAAGGGGAGAAATTTGTCTTCGTGAAGGACTTCTTGATTAAAATAACCCGCACTTGCGTTATATGGTGAGAAAAACATTCATCGGTTAGCCTGACGTCAAGGGGACTCGAACCCATGATCTGTCTACGACATATTTTACGTCAGAACTGTGGTCGGTGCGAGTTGGGTGCTTAATTCATTTTGATCAGCTGTTGATGGGACTCGAACCAGATTCCCTTCATTGGAAGGCGAACTCTATTCCCTCAGCCATTACGGTTATTTTGCGAAAGGTCTTATTTTTGTGAATCTGAAAGTCCTACTCAAGTCGTAAAATCTAAAATTAGAGTTAAATATGCTTTTTTACGGTCATGGTCCTGTGTTTGTGCCTTTAGGAAAGATTAAAAAAAGTTTAAGCAATAAACTTTTTAAAAAAGCTTAGTTTAAAATTTAAGATTAAGAGGATAAATAAATTAACGAATAAATTGAGCTTTGAATATATACGATGGCAGTCGAACAGATTGCAGGACTGCTTGGTTTACCATCCTGCAGTCGCATGAACAATGAGCAGGAAAAAATTATGTCACTCTGAATAATTTTTACCTTCGATTGAATCCATGAACGAAAAGAGTTTAACTCAAATTATTAACATGAAAGTAAGTCTTCTTTGAATAAACATGCCTCTTATCTTAATTTTTGACAAAAAAGAATTATTAACCAGAAAAATATGGAGGATAGTCACAATTTGGAAAGTATGGTGCCAAGTTGAATAAGGAGAGCAGTCGAAAGTTTCATATTAATTTCCTTTTTTACGTATTTCTCTAAGTTTTGAAAACTTTTATGCAAATAGCAACTGCTTTGTACAGCTATAAATTCGTTTATCAAAAGATAATTTTTTGTAAAAATAATTCGTAAATTATTTTTTCACATTTTATTTAATAATAGTTGAAAAATACTTTGAGTTACATATTGAGATACATTAAGGTAAAAACGTTTTATAATGTGTGACATATTAGATTTACGTATACACATTAGATTAGGTTTAAACAGATTAGGTACTTATTTCAAAATGAACACATACCGTATTGAATCATATCTTTCAGAGAAGAGCTTTCAAGAGATAGTTTGGCAATTTGGGGTGCATACAAGCATCGGACCTATGAAAAGAAAGTTCAATTATTTATAAACAAGATATATTTCAGAGAACATTAGCACTCTCATCATACATGCAGCAGATTCATACAGGGTTATTCGTAATTCCCTCCGGGTTTTCGAAGCGTTATAGTAAAAAAACGAAGACGTATATGGCAAAAAAGAACATAAAATTATTCCGAAAGTATTCAAGTTTTAATTTAAGCAGTTGCCGGTAGATGGCAGTAACATCTACCACTGAAGCCAGTTGTAGTAAAGAAAAATGGCGTTTACAGGCGGAGGGAATTATGAATAACCCTGTATATGCTTCATGTAAGGCTTACTGCATAATTTCCGATTTCAAACTCTTCAATAAGTGTTTTAATAATATTAAGGCAAACTTCTGTTCTTACATAGTTAAAAATGGGAGATTTCATAACTATATGAAAAATAGCATTTTTTGAAAGTATGATGGTCGCAACGCAATATGAATAGGACTATGAGCTTTTCACATTTTACTTCCATGCGTTGTTTGTTTACAATTTAACACTTCCTGCAAATTACGTTTGATTTGTAAATGGAATATTATACCAGTAATAGCAATAAACTATATTCTCTGGGAAGTTGCAAATTCAGGAGCTTTTAGTATAACTTACATTTCTGCGTTCATGCTCTCGTTGTTCTAATCTGTCCAGATGTCTCTCCTCCAACTGCGACAGAGAGGCCACAAATCGCTCATGAGATGCTTTCACTTTCTGCTGCAGTTGGTAGCAAATGGATCTGGCTAGGTGACATTCGTTCAGACTAGACAGCATCTTCAGGGCAATTTCCCGTTTCCACTGTGAATCTATTGCTGCAGGCAACTTCCAGGGAAGAACTTCTGCCAGCTAGGAGAAAAAAATTGTTAAAATGAAGTCAGTTGTATAAGTCTAACTATAACATTTCGCTCATAAAAGTAAAAAGGAAATAGCTGCTCGTTGAAAACTATGTTAACAAAATTTAAGGGAGAACTTATGTTTCTAGTTGTTTAAACATCAATTTTAATGAAAGAAATCTAAAAATGTATATTGTGCTCAGATTCAAATGTTAGTATGTACTTATGTAGGAAAGCTTTAAACAAAGTTTGACCCAAAAATAAAATAAAAATCAAACAAAACTGAAAAAAAAAGTTTCTGTGGTACTTCTGGATTGCAACCTTTATCTACCTAGAGAAGATATTTGAAGAAAGGTGAGCAAACCAGAAGCAAAAGAGTAAATTATTCCTAAATATGTTTTTCAATTGGTACAGAAAATATTGCATTATTTCATGTAAATAATGTTAATACTGTTTAGTAAGTGGTCGTAGTGAATCAGACAAATAGGATTTAAATCTTTTTTTTAACTATTTAATTAGTTTAGTTTGCAAAATTTGAGCAGTAGTAACCCAATGGGATAATAATCCTTTATTATAAAATGCCAGCAGTACAACTTAAACAATGGTTTTCTCATGCGCATAAAGTATATACAATTTTACTATCAGATAGATATGAAAGCTGCGTCATATTTCCTTATTAATAGGGAAATAAAATGTAAAATCTGCTGTTTCAAAGTAAACGAAAAAGGAAAAATTTAATTTTGTCAAACTTAGAACAAAAAAAGCAAAAAAAAAAAAAAAATTTACAACCCTNAAAAAAAAAAAAAAAAAAAAAAAAAAAAAATTACAACCCTTTCAAAAAAGAATTTGTTGTAGTCATGGAAAATTTAACATTAACAAAGTGATCCACCCTACATTTGTTTATTTTGTTATTTTCTTTTATATTTTTTGTCTGTTTGTTTACCTCTAAATTTCTATTGTAGATACGAACTATTATTTGATAAAAGGAAGGTAAAATCTACTTGTGGTAGTCAGTAAAGTATTTAAAATTGTAGTGTCATTCAGCACAAATCTCTAGTTAAAATATGAACATTCGAGTTAGTCAGAAAATAGTGAAATTTATCATTAAGGACAAATTTTATTTTATGCTAATATATCGATAAAAACGATTAGAAGTAGATTACTTAATTATTACGTCTAGCTCACGGCTCTAGCTAAAGTTAAGCAACTCCAATAATTCGGAAGGTGCTCGGAATTTTAATTGTCGATGCATTTTCTTCGGTTATATCCTGATGAAATCTGCATTTAGTGGTCAGTAAAAATTATAAATTTGAATCGCCATCAATCACAAGCTCAGAGCAGGTGTAAAGATTTAAATGTTGTAGATAGTTAAAAATTATTTAAAATTTTAACTGTATGATTCCACTTTTTCACTCATGAAAGCGAATTATTAAAAATGTAGTAAAAATAATAAATATTACCGATCAAAGTTAATTTAAGAGTTCCCTAAATAATCAACTATTATTATTTGGCTGTAGAACTTAAATTATGATCACTTAACCTTGCTTAGTTTCAAAATTAAAAATTAAATATTTTGACTTCAATGTTTTTAGAGAATTTTAAAATTGGAATTTCGTGGAATATCTTACCTGTTGCATTTTTTGCATGAAGAACCAGAAAATGGATGCACTATTCTTGAATGATACTTCAACCTATAATGTAAAATTTTATCATTTAACTGATAACGTTCTTACATAATAGTAGTAAAGGTTAGTATTATAAAATTACCATTTTTATAATTGGTTAGTACGTCATTGTTTTACTAAAGTTCTATACTTAGGTAAAGAAGTAAGTATTTTGAATACAAGTATAGTAAGTATTTTGAACACAAAATGAATATCTACTTTCTAAACGTGTTATTCAAATGCTACTAACTAACGTATGAACCAAATGGCTTTGCAACTGTTATATTTCAGTTAGTGAGAAATATTACCGAGATAATTGCTATGTAAATGGCTGTCACAAGAGTGCCAATCAAGAAAATTTACAAAGAGTTATTAATATCCCTGGTTTGTTTAACTTTTATGATTTCCTTTTTACCACAAGAATGGTAACAAATAACGTTTTTCTTTGTAATTGCGGAACAATTTTTCAGTTTTCCTTCCAGAAAAATAGTTTCTGTTTAACTATGAAAAAGATTAAAATCATTAATTTTTCCACTGCCAAATGAAACTCTAATGTAAGTCAAGCATACAAAATCTAAATTATTAGCATATTGCGCATATAAAAATCATAAGAGACTAAACACACATAATTTTTCTAATCTTCACAATAGTTTAATTTTTTATATAAAAAAAAGCTTGAGTTGAATACTGAATATTTAAAAAATATATATTAAATACCCATATAATAAATTATATAGTATATAAAGCTCAAAGTTACACAAGAATTATACCTTCAATAGAGAGATTTTGCATTTCTCTCCGATTTTTATGCGTTTAAATAGATCCACGCTCTGCAGATGTGAAGTGATTACAGAGGGCAATTCAAAAGTAAGAAGTTAACTGGATGGAAAAATATCTTAAAGGATTGCTTACCTGGTAAGCAGCAGTAAGAATGTGCCTCAACGCAGCACTGGCATGTTTGTTTTCTTCATCAATGTCTTTGTTAGATTGTTCCAAACTCAGAAGACAACGTTCAAGAGTCCCTGTTAATAAATCCCTTAAATTAATATTTAGCCTAAAATTAACATTTTAAAACTAAATGAGCACCGCTGGGGTATTATTCAATAACCTCAGAAAACAAATGCAAGATTAAATTCTATAAAATAGTCACAATTCTCTCAATACTTAAAATGATTTACTCCCAATTGCTTAAACTGATTTTGATTTAATCGTCGAAACACACTGATTTCGCTGTTCTTGATGGTATGGTTGTACTGCATCAAACTTAAATTATTTTGACTAAAAATAGCGAAATAGCATGGTGTTATGAACTATGTTTTATGTAAAACAGAAAAAAGAAAGGAGCTTGACCTTAAAATGTGTACTCTAAGAAATAAAATCACACTGTGCTTGAAGCTAAGTCAAGTGAAAAGGGGAAAGGGCATTTAGGTACCTCAGGGTTTTCGAATCCTTTTCTCCGGAAGGAAACTACCCCCTCCCCAAAATTTTATTGGTGACACAGAAACCAATGAAAATATGAAGTTAGTCTACCTCAAAGTATTCTCTGTTTAACTAAAGAACTTTCCTTGCCAGATATCTACAGAACTGTCCGCTAACTACTGTTATGAGGTAGAACTAGTGTAGTATATAAGTAGGATTTACAATTATGGCAAGGTTTGACTTGGATCGAAAGGAAAAGTAACTAAATCCCCCTTTTTTTATGTGCCTCATTTTGTTTTCATAGCAGTAGGCAATCCCAGACTCAGTCGCGGGTGGAGTTCTCTGTTTAGACCGATAGTAGTTCAAAACGTGGAAATTATCGCAGCAACTACAGGCAGGGTGACAGGAAAGTAATATCGTTTCGGTGCATTTGAAATTTATCAAGATTTTATTTTTAATCAATAATGTATTCACCTTCGTTAACAATCTCGTCAATGCCGGATCGAAAATTAACCAAAATGGATTAAAAAAAATGAATTTAAGACTAACGAAAATTTAAGGCGCCGAAACGACGTTACTTTCCGGTCCCCCTAATATATCCAATGTAACAAAGCGTAGAGCAGTATATGGGTAACATTACGAAATGCTGTACTGGATTAGTATCAACTTACATAGAGTAGTGATGGTTTAAAAATTAATTATAAAAGAGTATTGAATGTTATAAACCTGTGAATTTTTCTTGCAGCCATTCAATTGAGGAGGCCAGCTTCGCAGAGACTGCTTTGTTAACGTGATCGATCACCATGTCTCTGATCTCAGAAGTACACAAATGCACAGTTCTCGCCGTGAGTGTTTCAGTGAAAAATTCATCTGATTTCACACCTTAAAATATTAAAAAATTTATTAGTATAGCTGTTTAAACATTATCTAAACTGTTCATTAAATTTTAAAATGTCTGAAAAGTATGAAAACTGTCAAAAATACGCGTTGGATCAAAAATCTAAAAAATACACTCGTGGAGTCTAAAAAAGGTTCATTATATGATACTCATTCCACCCCTCCCCAAGAAAGTGAAACAAACTTCAAAATTTTAAATAAGAATACCATCATTATTGCAGACTTGGACTCTCCTGAAAAAAAAGTACCCCGAATTGGTATTTGTATTTTAGTGCATAGATAGGGCCCAGAAATTAAAATGAGAATACACTTAGTTTAACACAGATGCACGAAAATATAAACCAGACTGGAAAAAAAAAGATTTAACAAAATTTAATATTTTGAAAAAACCTTTCTAATGGCATCGAACTCTGTCCCCCATTCCTAAACTCGAACCCACTCTCTAAGAGTCACCTCTTAAGAGGGAGGAGCGAGGAGTTAGTTGTCACTAAATAGGCTTTTCAAAAATAAAACATGTCTATTGTTACTTTTTAACGAACATTTATTTCTCAAGATGTTTCGCATTTCGAGCGATTTATACCCAATTTTTTAATTAACGAATACAGCGCCATCTATGAATTAAAATGCAATAAAAAAACTGTAGGTCAAAACAGGAGAATTTAAGTGCTCAATGAAAAAAGGGTTCTTATTTAAGATTTTAAGTTTCCCTCGAATAAAAAACAAAAATGAATAAATTTTTTGAAACCATTTTACCGATGTGTCTTTAAATATTTTATTCGATGCGTACTTTTTGACTGTTTCCATACTTTTTAGATACTCATTATGTGTTATAGAAGGTAAACCGAACATAAAGGAGTTGATTTATTTCAATACATACAAAAGTTAAAAGACTAGCACGGTCTCTTTTCGTTACTTTTTAAAATACTTTTTGCACTTTTGCTGCTGATCCCAAGGCAGTGCGAGACGAATTTCTTCGTATCAGTTTGATTCAATAAAACAGATCAAGTGGTAGCAAGATACATATTATCCTACTTTTTTTGCAGAAAATATGATATTTTCTCCGGACAATAACACATTATTTATTACAATAAACTTATTATGAATTTTAAAAACTAAACTGGTTTCTAAAATAAAGAATATTTAACTTTATCGGTTACCCCTCTTCAGTTAGGATGGATAACTACTTGTACTCGGCTGGCAGCAAACGTGTCAAAGATGGTTGTTTTAAATAGAATTTTAACTCAGGATTCCTGATAAATGATTGATCAATTATCCTTAACTATTCCTTCTAGGCCTTTGTTCATTAATGTTGAAATAATTAAAGTGAGATAGGTGAAACCTTTCGTCACAGATTACTTATAAAAATAATTGCACCATTATTTTCAGCTCAAATGAATTCAAAATGCTTCAAGTTATTTATAGATTATCATAATTTATTTAAAAAGGCATACATTTTCTTAAGCAATTTACTAAAGATAAAGAAAAACTTAGGATTAAAAAAATATATTAGCACGCATTTTAAGATAAAAACAAACGCACGTGGTAACATTGAACTTCAAACTTACCTCGGAAAGCAAAATTTTCTGCTTTCGAATACACTTCGTCTCGTATTTCAAAAATAGTCGTTGTTATCATATTTTTGATTTCGTTTTGTTTGTTGTGCGATAAGTTGAGAAGCGACCTATACAGGGCTTCTTCTCTCTGTCTGGCATACAGGATTCTCTTTGGAGTGATCATCAAGTCACGAGACAGATCAAAAGCAGCTAAGATGAAATTCTGAAGACTGCGCGCGTGCGTGTCTTGCAGCAGCGTGGCAGCAAGTAAAAGTCTGGATTGCAGAACGTGACTCACAAACATAAGAATACTGAAACAGAAAGATTTAAATTTAATATATTGCAATAATTCTTTTAAAATTTCTGATTATTCTAAGCACATAACATGCCATTCAAATAATCATCAAACAAAGTATCTCACACAAATCATCTCACTTCATTCAAGCAAAGCATCTCACTTCATTCAAGCAAAGCATCTCACTTCATTCAAGCAAAGCATCTCACCTCATTCAAGCAAAGCATCTCACCTCATTCAAGCAAAGCATCTCACCTCATTCAAACAAAGTATCTCACTTCACTCAAATAACTTGCTAAATTTTAATTTTTTTTCTTCTTTAAAACGACTCATAATCTTTTAATTTTACGATTTTTTAAAATAATTTTTCATAATAAAAATTAAAATAATTGTCTTAAAAATTAAAATTAATTTTTGGTGCAAATTAAGGTTTTAATATTAGATAATAATTACCTAGAGAAGTTTATGAAATCTTCGACAAGCTCATTTCCTACTTCTAGTGAACCTTTGTATTCTGGCCTCGAACCAGACAGAGGAAGATATCCCATTTCAGAAAGTTTCTGGTAAATATCTGACGACACTGGAAATTGCTCAGCAATTTGAACTTCGCTGCAGTGACGTAGCAGGGATAGTTGTTCTAGTGGATGGCGAGAATAAGTATATGGTAAGTTACGAGGTGGTGATGTCGGTGAGGTTGGTGATGTTGGCGATGGTGGACATGAATTGGCTGGAGTGGACGAAGTTGATGAACTGGTGGATGCGGTCCCGGCATGTTGGCCAGATTCTGTGAGATCAGACTGAGATGGATGGCGAGTTACCATGAAAAATATGGGCAACTTATAAGGTGATTGCTGAAGTTCTGTTAGATCTTCAACATCCTAGAAAAGAAAACAGTACATAAACACGGTGTGCTACGTATAAGTGTCAACGGAATGAGTTTATTTAGTTAATTTTCTTACTTGCTCCGTGAGGTGACTTCCGATGGCATAAATGATGATTGGCGTGACTCCACTAAGACATTTTTTAAGATCTGGCATGAAAGCAGTTTGAGTCCTTTCAGGAGCCACGATCACCTGAGCATTATCATACAACATGGGGTGGGGCAATGTGATTTCTAAGACACCTCCTACCATGGCTGGGTCCTCCACAGTGTTTTGGTTTGCATCGGACTGGAAAAAAAGATTAACACGTTGAGATAATGAAGAATTCGAACGATACCCGAGCTAAGTTTATCAAGAAAAATAAATTTAAAGAACACCGAAACATTTGTATAAAAAACGTAGGAGAAAATACAACATTTAATGGAATCTGAAATCATTTGGAATCTGGGTCAGCATTATTACTTTGGCGATGTAACTGATCCATATCGTGGATATCCCCTATTAATGCCAAATTCCTTAATCCTGCAATTTAGTTTTTAATTAGGAAAGCAAAGGAACTGATAAGCTAAACATAGGTACAAACGTGTTTAATCTAAGAATTTTTTTAAATTTAAACATGCATCAAAAATGGCATAGGAAAAAAAACCTCGAAAATCTTCCACAGTTAACATGAGGATGGAACTACTATGGAACATTACTATGGACTACTATGGAACATTATGGAACATTACTATGGAACATTTTTTCATAAGAAAAAGTATTTAACAACTCAGAAAAGAACCCTTTTTATGTGGCCGGGATTCAAAACTTATTCAGAGAATTTGCCTAGTTATCTAAGCTACCATGATTATTATTATGAAATTATTTATTGTAGTACCCGAATAGCCAACAAGTGATCCATGCATTTTGGAGCAGCTATTCTAGGCAATTTTTCAAAACGAAAAAGTAAGTCATAATTCCTTATAATGTAAATTTTTTTTTTCAAATAAAATTTCTGATTCGGTACACCTAGAAAATGCTGTACAGTGAGCGTACAATTCATTGTGACTAGTAGTTACCCTTTTGTGTAGAGCAAACTCAGAGAGAGGGTACCAGCTCAGTCACATAACCTCGTAGCCACTTTCTATCATAGAGGTTTAAACACTGAGTACTGAAAATAGGAAAAGCTATTGATTAATGATCAGGATTCTCGATGCGCACATCAAGTGGATGTAACGTTTGCAATGACGCTTAATCGTTTTACTAGTTATTAATATACTTTTCTCTTAATAGGGGGTTTGCTTCATAAATACATAATAACTAGGGCATTGGAAGCACGTAGGGAGTGGAAGAACGTACAAGACATTGAGATGTTTAGATATTTCTGTCATTTGATGCGGTTTGAACCAAAAAAACTTATTGCTGAGTTCGGTTATTGGACATTTATAATTACAAAAAGTAAATGTGAGTAGTGATAAATTTGTTCCAAAATAGCATGATCTGCAGGTATAGAAAATCAACTTGTCTTCAGCTTAATCTTTGAAATATGAAAAATCATATGAAATATAATGAAGTTAAGAACAATTTAAAATGGGATGATAAAGTACTACAGTGAGATTCAAATTAAGCCCGAAACTATCAAAATAAAACTAGTTTTAATGCAACTTACTTTTAGTTCCAAGTCAGCCAAAGGTACCGTTGAACATTGAGGTGTTTCGTTGAATTCAAAGTGTTCCAGAATTTCAAAACCGTTTGGAAGTGAAAGCTTTGCTTTTGATTCCTTACCGTAACAAAACCTTACCTGGAATATATCAATTTTCCTTAAATTACTAAATCTATTAATCAAATACACTGATACACAAAAGTAATAGTTTTTTGTGTTGTGTGTGACCAGTATTTTAGACCGATGTTAATTGTTTAAGAGCAATACAGTTTCTAATACTTAAATTAATGAATAAAGAAAAATATGCAAATGAAAGTCAGGAATATTAAATAACAATTAGTATTACAAGGCTGAATTTTACCACATAATTTTACCATATATTTATAACAAAAATAATTCTCATAATCAAGTAGCGAATTTAATATAAAATATTTCCGACAGATCTGCTGCAAGAAGAAAGTTAATAGTTTCCAAAGGACAATAGTTTAGAGTTCCAGAGGTAGTAGTTTAGAAGTTCCAAAAATGAACCAGTAATATCCAAATTCCTAAAATAGACGGCGATCTGAGGCTCGCGGAATCAACATTAAAATAAACTACATTCTTAATATTTCTTTGTGTAAAAAAAGCAGCAGCGAGCAGACACATTTGCCAGCTTTGTAGATGACAAATGAATGACAAATCAGTTCATCAACAACTGATGAGTTTATTGTTCACAGCTCCAGAACACCGTGGCACCAAGTTTCGGAACCATGACTTACAAAATTAAACGTATTAAATTAGTTGAACACTGAACAATTGCACTTAATAAAACTATAAAGTATTAGACATCAATGAGTATAAGTCTCAATATCCTTTAAACTTTTCTTATGGTAGAGCGAATTCTGTTGTTTTACTAACTGGATGAAAAATTTAAGTTCCTCATTTTTTTGTTTATAGTATTATAGATTTTACCATACAGAGCAAAGAATTTAAGCATTTAAAAGTATAGAAAAGCATTTAAATTTATGGAATTTAAGAATGTAGAATTTACGAATATAGAATTTACGAATATAGAGTTTAAGAATATAGAATTTAAGAATATAGAATTTAAGAATATAGAATTTAAGAATATAGAATTTACCATTTTCCAGTGGTGGTCTGACTCTCCAAATGGTACTATAGGCATGATATTACGACCCATCAGAGCATTGGCGATTGTGGCTCGAGCCCAGCAACATCTTCCTAACACCACAAAGCCAACTGGCTGTTCCGTAATTTTCCACACAGTTTTTTCGTCTTCTGGTTTTAAACAAAATTTTTCTAATTGATCTGGAAAAAAAAGGAAATTAAATATTGAAAGTTGAGATTTTAGACACAAGTTGTGTATTGTAGCGTAAAAGTTGCAATATTGTAGCGTAAAAGTTTTACTAAATTGTTAAGAATCTTTTTTTCTTAATATATTTAAGAAGTTTTTGATTATTAAAATAATATATTTTGGAAAATCAAACTTAAAATAAAAAATTAAGACTGAGTTATTTTAATGTTTCATTGCTCTAGAGCAGTGGTTCTTAACCTTTTTAAGCCGCGACCCAAATTTGAGAAATATGTTCATGTCGCGACCCAAAAAAAAGTCGAAATTAGGCTGAGTGAGCCACAATGACTTCTTCTAGGAGGTGTTGGTATTACTTATTACTTGGTGTATTACTAACTTTTCTGGTTCGACTCAGCGCGACCCAAGAAATATGCTTCGCGACCCAATTTTGGGTCGCGACCCATAGGTTAAGAACCGCTGCTCTAGAGCTATAAATTTTAAATGCATTATTTACAATTATTTTTTTTCGCTTGATAAATAAACTGAATATGGTAGATGGTTCAAGTTTTGGAGAAAAATTTGTAGTAAATAACTAGACGTAAATGATTTGGGCACGCTTTACAATATTAAATAGTTTTAAACCTATTATTCTCGAAACGAAGTTCAATCATAGGTCATTTTTCGTCAGGGCGTTTTCATTTTACACAAAAAGTATTTCAAATTATCGCATGTTATTATTATTGCAATCATGATTCAATTAGGAAGTATATAATATTTTCCGCTCGTTACAGAAAACATGTTTTTTTCCCCTTTAGATTTAATTTATGCACATGACTTGGTATTTGCAGACAAATATATTTCCAATTGACTAGTTTATAAGGGTTTAGCAAGAGTGTTTACGCAATATTTCTCTGAAAAATAGAAGTGATATCCACTGAGGCCTATTTTTAACTCTCAAAACAAAACTTTCCAAGATATCTCAATCAGTCATTATGGAATTATTTATGTTAAAATAGATCAAATCTCATAGATATCAATTTGGATTCTATCATCGAGTCTCATTAGTTTTATGATTGGACTACAAGAACTTTGATGTCTACTTGCGTACTGAGCATGTGTTCAGAAGGTCAAAGATCCAAACGAGGACCTTACAACCTGCTGTAGTAAGTGAGATTAGATACATTAGATAGGGAAGGACAGTTATATTTCCAATCCCTTTACCCTTTATTTCTTTATCAAAATTTATTTCAATCTGATATTTGTAATGCGCATTATTATGTCCCTATTTTAAAAGATATAATTTCAGAATTTCATTTCAGAAGCTTTTTTGTAGGCCATTTTTCTGGAAAAGCTGGCTCATTCTTCGTGTAAAATATTCTCAAAATCATTTGTAATCTTTCTTTGGTTAATGTGTTCACAATTGCTAATGAATTTGGAACTTAATTTATTAAGTCATGGCTCCGTTGGAAGAAGGGCAACCATTTCCATTCCTTTCAAATTGTTTAAAAAAAAATTTGAAACGAGAATTTCAAAAGTGAAAAAAATATGAAGTAATATTTTTTACTGTACTTGATTTTATTGGATTTGTAGTTAACAGTAGATTTTAAATGGATTTGAGTAGTTACAAATGATCAAATCTATATTCTTGTTATTTTGGGCCCAAAACCAGAAGAGAAGAAAACTGGATCAACGTTTCGTGGACGACTGGGTTAAACTAATTCGCAGTTGAGTTGAATGATACTTTTTCTAAGTTCATATCGTAAAATAAAGTAGTGCTTATTTGCAATTAAAAAGCTTCTTCTACAACATCTGAGTTTCAACAATTATTCACGATTGTTAGATCAAGTTTACCTTATTTTTAGCCAGCTCCCTCTATGCTTATTCTGAAAATGGCGCACAATATCAATATGAAGAAAAGCTATAGTTTTTAAAAAATAAAATGAAACGTATGTGATATTTTTAATCCTCATAAAGCTACTCCAACTTTGCATTGTTTGAGCTCACAAAAAATTGCAAAAAAATCAAGAATTATTAATAGATTTCAATAATTATCTTAGGGGAAATACTGCGCCAAATTAGCGTTTTATTTCTTTTTTTTTTCCTTGAAAAAAGAATTTGAAATAATTAAGTCCGTTCTTCTGAGACCCAGATAATTCCTTACGGCAGGGTGGTACATATAATTCAAAATTATAACTTTGCTTCAAGAATAAGGCATTTAAAACGTGATATTTTTTTATTATTTTCGTTGACGGAAGAGCTTCTGATAAAACAGCTTATGCGAACACTAAATCGGAAGCAGTATGTAAATAGACCAACCGCAGCAGAGTTTTGAACCAGGGTCGTTTAACACTATACAGAGGCGGAAACTCTTCAGAAAGACTCTTCTTTACTCTTTGTTCTGGGTGTACCATGCAAACTTTTGACATGGTCCACCCAGGCGTAGAAGTTGGGTACTTGTGCTTTAGAGTTTCAACAAGTGTTTTTAAAAATTTTGTAGAAAATTAAAAATAAATTAGGTGATTGCGCGCTACAATTAACCTCAATTTACATAAAAAAAACAAAAACAAATTTAAAGTAAAAATAAACTTAGATAAAATGGGCCTATGATGAAGCAAAAATTAACAGAAATATTTTTTAACTGTTGAACCTGAGTCAAAATAAAAAGTATTGTAGTTCGTGATTTTGTATTGCCTATCTGTTCATAGACAATGTCTTAAAAATAAAACTTAAAACTGTGCTTCGTACATCTTCATAATTTTAATCTGCAATTTAAGCTATATAATATAGATCTAATCAAATTATAACTAACAAGATTTATTCCAGTTTTCGTAATTGGGAACACAAATATATCTTAAAACCTACTTCAAATAATTTTTCTCAGATATTATATTTATTGAAGAACAATTATGAGTAATTTTTCCAAAACTATTGCTTGGCTCTCAAAAAACTAATACATTAAAAAAAAATTTTTCTTCGTAGAATTGACTTTGGGCAGGAAATTACTTACTAGATTACAGGATATATTTCATTCAATACTGATAAAAATAATAACCATTGAGGAAGACAATGCTTAATTGAGAAATTAAAGATGACACAGATATAGAACAAAAATGTTGAAAAGCAAATACTTTCCAAAAACATATAAATTCTTAATAACGACGTTATATAAAATTTGAACTATACAGATAGTCACTTTAAGGAAACAATGCACATATATTTCAATCATCCAGATGCAAAATTGATAAATGCAATATCGGAAAAAATGAGTTATATAAGTCATTCTCATAAGTATTTTTCTGAGTTTAAATATGAAAACAACCAAATTCATCTATTGCAGCTTTTTTTCTTCAGAAAATTCTAGTTAACACGCTTTGTAGTTGAATTAATTTTACCCAATTTGACTGCATGAAACTTATTTAAATAAACATATTACAGGTTGTTGAGATATATTCACATCAATCATAATTCATAGTTAAATCAAGAAATTTTTCCTAAGAAATATTTTTTTTCGAACTACTTACATCAGAACGAAAGTAGTATTGAATGTGGACATTTGTTTACAAACAAAAAATATGAAACACAGTGTGCTATTAATTTACGTAACATGATCGAAATACTATAACACGTTTTTGATCTTATCTGTTGTCATGAAGTGGAAACTGAATTGGACCAGGTTAAGGCGTGGAACTGACTTTTTTTTTGCATCATCTTCTATGTTTTTACTTATAAAATGGAGCTAGTAGTAGAGATATTAGATAATCCAATTTCGTTACGTTTATCTAAATAAAAATCAGTCAAGAGGTTATAATTTATTTTATTTTTTTTTAGAAAAGGGATCTCGCCTTAGCACCATTTATGACTTATGATAAGCATCAAATCAATAAATGAAACCTAAACAAAAATGTACATATGAAGATAATATTGAATTGGAGCATTTTTATTTTATTTTCTACAGTTCCTCTTTGCCTCTAAGAGTAAATTAAAAAAATATATTAGAAATTCATCAAAAAATTTCAGAAGTTTATTAAAGTGATCTGTTTAGATTGAGAGTGTATTATTACGATTTTATGAATTAAAAACTGAAGGAGGAAGTATAATTTTTCGAAACCAATCAAATTCGTTATGCGACTGTGATTCCCAAATTGTGGTGAGTAAATTGTGAAAACTCTCAACAAAAATTGCAGTAAAAAAATTACAAGACACTAAGTATATTAATTAACAATGAAAGAGCTTTATTGAGTGTTATTTTGAAATTTATTTGCTTTGGTAAAGTACACTGTTAGGAATATTGAAACGTGGTCGATCTTAATACCATTCAAATATACTGCAACCTTAATAGAGTTCTTATTTAAATCATGTTATTGTTATTCATGAACTTGATTGAAAGATACTAGAGTTCAACTTAGACACATATATGGTTCAATTTAACATCGTATTACGATAGCTAATTTGCACCGCAATATGAACCAAGATAGCCAAAGTTATAGTTCAATGTTGAAACGATTTTTCTACATTGCTTGATCTGTAAAATATCAGAAGATTTCAAAAAGCAGTTCCCAATCTTAATTCAAAAAGGAAAGAAAGTTTTACGCGTGTATAGCTAAAAAATGTTACCAACTAAAATAATTATGGAGATGTGAGCAATTCAAGATGTAATTTGAGTACATATTTTATCTATAGAAGTGTTTTTTTTTAAATTTTTTTTTTTTTTTTTTTTTTTTACAACACAACAGACAATAGTGAAAACGAAGGTCGTAAATAGGGCACAATCCTCGAATTCACTTAAATTTTAATTCAGATTTTTATTTCGTTGTCACCAAACCATAAATCTCTAAATTTGGCACTTTTCATATAAATGGATATTTTGATTCTTTTGTTGGTCGACTCAACTATGCCAAAGAGGGGACGTCCCAATTAAGTCCAAATAGTCACTAAACGACTCATATTTAGACAATGAGTCTTAATCTAACATGTATAGAGAAAAATTTGCATAATTAGAGTTAATGAAAATTACGTA